AAAAAAAAAAAAAAAAAAAAAGAAAAAGGAAAAAAGTTCAGAGGAAGACTTCACGGTGAAATATAGCCGCTATGGAAATGTGAAGCTCATCGGTAACATTCGGCGACAAAAATCTCCTCAATAATATTGAGTCTCAGTAAGAAAACATTAAAAAAAAGTGCCAGTGATCAGATCTTTCTATTTATCGATGAGGCTCACGTCGGTTATGGTAAAGTCCTACGGGCAGCATCTTCTAGTAATGGTTTGGCCTGTTGAAGTCTGATCCAGTGCGAGGAGGTGATCCGCTTTTCCACTTACCAACGTGAAGCTCGTCGGTAAGTGGTGAATGCTGCTCCACTTCCCCACTGAACCCCCCTTCCCCTCTCGTTTTCGTTTTCCTCGTCCGGTTGCATTTCCCATTCCTTCATTTTTTCCAACAAGCCAAGCAGTGAGAAATTCAACCTTTTTCTTCTCTCAATTAGTCAATGGGGTAGTGGTAGGTGAGGTTTGGGTGATATTACCATTTTTTATTTGTTTTTGTGTTAAATCCAGATGGGTTATACATATTTTGTATTTTTTTTGGTTATAGTTTAGATTATTAAGCATTGTGATTAGTTCATTTGCTAAGATTGTTAGATTTGTTATTTTGGGTAAATTTTATGGATGTTTGTCAAGAATTTTTTGGTAATTTTCTAGTGAAATTCCAACTATTAACAATGAAACTTCGACAATATAATAACTAGCCTCATTTTGTTGTTGCATTTGTTGTAAGTTGTATTATGTTAATTTTAAATGCAATTTCTATAATTTAATGGTATATATAAATAAATTTTTGGATAAAAATATATATAAATTAATACTTTAATAATTATTTTTATAGGTTAATATTTTGCTTTGTGGATCCTCATTATATAGTAAGTTTTATTTTCACTATATGGTTATAATTGTATGATTAAATATTTATTTTTTGTTAAATAAAAATTCAATAATTTGTTTATGAAAAATTTTGTTGATGAATGAATTTAACATGTTTATATATGAACTTAGTAAATAAATTATAAAATATATGAAAGATATATTATAATTGTTCTGCAACTAATCATGTTGTTATTTTTGTGTCATTAATTTAATAAGATTATAGATCATCATAGTTGGTGTATAGATGTTAAACTACTCAAGGAGAAATATATGAGGAGTTCTACAATGGAGTTAAATATTTCCTTCAATTTGCATACAATGGGCTTGATCTTGGACTGAATGATTTAATCGGATGTCCTTGTGGTAAATGTTTTAATTTACTGTTGATGACTCGGGGAATGGTATGGGATCATCTTTTTAATTTACTGTTGATGACTCGGGGAATGGTATGGGATCATCTTATTGTGAATAGTTTTATGAACGTTTATTTTGTTTGATGGGCGCATGGTGAGACATTTATGAATTCAATAAATCTATGGTCTGCTACTAATTTGGAAAAATCATCGCATAGCCAAGATGCATACCATGATGAATGGAACGACTTTCGTGAGGTGATGTATGATATCTTTTTTCTGGAGGATGATGATTATCAAGAAATAGAAGATAATTTCCCCAATCAACATCTAGACGAGGAACCGAACAACAAAAAAAAGACATTTTATGACTTATTTCGTGCATCTATAATACCACTTGGTAATTCTAGCAGAAATGAGATAGTGTTCAGCTGGCTCTCCTATATGTTGCACATGAAGAATGCAAATAATATAATTAGTGATGGTTTTAATGCCATCATCAAAGGATGTAAGCAACTATTAAGTGTTGAAGATCATGAAAAAGTTCTTGCAAACTTTTATGAAGAAAAATAAATTTATGGAAGGGCTTGGGTTGGGTTATTTAAATTGATACTTGCGTTAACAATTGCTTTTTATATTATAAGGAGCATGCAAAGGCATTGATTACATGTTTGATTTGTGGTGAAGCAAGGTACAAATAGAGAAATCTAGGGAGGAAAAGACAAAAAGACATCCTAAGAAATTCTCTTTGGTACTTGCTAATAATATCTCATTTTTAGAAGCTATACATGTCTCGAAAAATAGTTGACTATATGACATAGCATCTGAAATGTTGTGGTGATACAGATGAGGTCATTCATCCAACACAATTAGAAGTTTGGAGACATTTTGATCAAATACATCCTTCTTTCAAAAAAGAAACTCGTAATGTTCGATTAGGTCTTGCCATTGATGGTTTTAACTCATGGGGTTATGCTTCAACCCCTTAGTCTTGTGGGCTATTTTTGACTGTTTATAACTTGCCGTCAAAGATATGCATATAGTCGGAGTTTACATTTCTTGCATTGTTCATTGTAAGTTCAAAAAGCCCAGGTAGAAATATCAATATATTCTTTGGACCCTTAATTGAAGACTTGAAAATGTTATGATTAACTGGTGTGGAAACATACAATAGCTATCATAAGTAAAAC